ACCATGTCCCATGCTGGAGGTGCCATGTGGTGCTGGTAGTGTACTGATGGGTAGCACAGGCCCTCTTCTGGGCTCCTCACTCCTGTCCCAAGGGGCTTGCCAGGCTTGCATATTGCATGAAGACTTTGGCACTGTGCTCCTTTCCTTGGCTGTCTCCTCACCAATCTTTTCTTTCCTGTACCTTGCATTCTGAGCTCAGCCAACTTCCAACACACCTGATGAAATCTCCACATCAAACTTTTGGTAACAAACATTTAAGTTAGAATGCACATATAAAGATTTGGCTTGGTTTTGCTCAGACCCCATGGACAAGTGAAGAAAAGATGGTTAGCTGTGGATGCTCCAAGTAGTGATTTTCTCAAAGTACTGACAACTTTATAACAGGGACTTCATACACGGATGTTTCTGATCCAGAAACATGAACAAAAAAAATTTAAAAGAACCTCAGAATTCATTGAGGAAACAGAAAAGAGAGGTTAGGCTAAGATGTTTCTCAAAGGAGCAGGAAAAATGTACACTTAATACTCTGCTAATTATGGGAGGAAAAATGACCTTGAGGTGGACAACACTAAAGATATAAGTGCTCAAGGTAATGGAAGGAGGCCTTGGGTGGTCCCTGAGGTTCTAGTGAAAATCCTATGATAGCCTTGTTCAGTATCCACTGTGCTCAGTATCCCAGCTTCTGTCCCTTCCAGTCACGGTGAGATGCATCATTCCAGGTTAACCTCAGGAAGAAACAAGGGTTCACCTAAAATCCTGCTCTCTCATTGGGATCAAGATTGCTTGGGAACTGGAGGTTTTGGGTTAAATACTTAGATCTCTGGAGAGCAGACTCTTCAGGGTCATGACTTTGGGTCATATGAACTTCCCCTGCTGATGATATCACAATGTTCTGTTACATAGATGTGACTATGCTTGTATACTTTATCCAGTAACATTCAATGAATGGCTATTGAAAATAATCTAATTTAGAGTTGAAATCTTTGAACAAAGGCAGACCTCTTCTAAAGCCTAACTTTGGATATTGCTACAGGATGAACCTTGTGGTAGGACCATTGACATTCTGAAAAATTATATAACTTAACCCACTCTTAGTGGTTAGGTCTAGGGTGAATATGTACCCAAATCATGGTTCACCACTTTTCTTCTCAGGACATAGGAGTTTTTAGAATGAGCTGAAACTAAACATCCTGTCATTCACCCCTGGGAGTGGCCGTGAAATAAAGTGCAATCCATAAGGGAAGAACAACAAAATTGCTTCTACACATCTGGACAGAATAGACTGAAAAGATTCTTTCTCCTACATCTGTGTGCACACATTAGAAGACCATTGTTTTCTCATTCAAATATATTGGTATTCTGGGATGTTAAATGATCACTATTGACTCCTTTTCTTATGATACTGTTTCAAGTATATTGAAATATTTGGCCACATTTTATATGTTGAGATCTCTCTTGGAATGTCTAATTCCTACAGATGTGGACCACATTGTCCTACATAGTAACTTGAACCTCTGCAAGGATGTATGAACTAGTCAGAAATATAAAGGTATAGGCATGTCTATTCACATGACAAAAGATACCAAACTATGTGTGACAATTTATCATTACCCAGGCTTTAAGACATTTCAATATCAACTTCAATTGACGGACAATGACTATACCCTATGGAGTATTTCAGATTCCTATAGGAGTGGAAACTTTCCTGCATGAAAGCCAAAGAACCCATTTTAAAAAATATCTTCCCCGGCCTTGAAGTTCTTTCTACTCTGGGCCTGGGTACTGTCCCTGAGATTTTGTAATAAAGGAACAAAAGTGATGACAGTCTATCAACATGATTCACAGCATTACTTGTGGGAAATTAGGTGAAAACAGTTTCAGAGCATTTCCTACATAGTTGGCCTTTCAATTGTGATTTTAAAACTCATACTCTTGAGCAATTAAGAATTCCAATGTGAACCACCAGTGCCCTGTTAGATCAGGATATCTTAACTACTTGATCCAAGCAGGACTCATGGTTTCCACAGAATAGGATAAAAAATTCATATAGACATATGCAAAGGTCCTTTTGCAATCTCAGTAAAGGTCTGTTTACCTATCATTCTGTAAACCACATCCAAATTCTTCCACTAAATAATTGGAAGAATGCATTGTTTGCACAGATCATATTAGCGGTCCTCAGGTTGAATTCAGGGACAAAATTTGTGAGGCTTCCTTCACCTTCTATACCAGATGCCTTTTTGTATCACTGATTTTTCACCTTAGAGTCTTGCTTCTTTGTCTGGGCCTTTCAACACACTAATTTTATACTTACATATCACAAGTAGCAAACAAGATAGGCACATATGACCAGAGCCATCCTTTTATTGGCTAAGAAACCATATTCGTGAAGCTTTTGCATTGGATGGCCTACAAATACTACCTTTCTAATTTCAGCCTCCTGAGTAGCTAAGATTCCACACATGAGGGAGTGTCATTGCTCATTTTTAATTGCAGGTTTTAAATTAAAAGAAAGAAAGGTTACTTTACCAACTCAGTGAGCAGTATGTCCCTGAAATTTTGAGCTCAAGCAAAAGTATTTGCCAAATGATAATATTGAATGACACCATCCCCACTTAACACGATGAGAGGATGAGAAATGTTGGCTCAAAGAAAGCTGAAGAGTGAAGAATGGTTTCCCTTCACACCTAGCTTACCTCTGCCATGAAGGATTTCTTTGTATAATTTACAGAGGTTTTCTGACAAAGATTTTCCTACATTGGGCCTCTTTCCTGGGTGAATGTTCTAATACTTGCTGAAGGTTGGTTTCTGGTTGAAAGACTTCCTCTCATGTTTATATTTACAGAGATTCTGTCATGTGTCCAGGTCTCTGATACCTGTACAGATGGGACTTCGGGCAAAATGTTTTCTATACTCATAATTTCTTTCCTGTCTCTGCTCTCACATATGCTGAATACTCAGTTCTGATTGAAAGTCATTTCACATATGTTCTATGCACTACTTTCTTTTCTCCTATGTGAGTCAGTTCTCTGATAAACATGAGGTATTTCTTTCTGATCAAAGGATTTCCACATTTGTAATATTTTTCATTTTATTTTATTTTTTTGTGAACATACTTACAGAGGGGTTACAATTACATGGGCAAGATAATGAGTACATTTCTTATCAAGCATTGCAGCCTCCTCCTTTGTTTACCCTTCACATCCCTTCCCAGCCTCCCCCCGCCCCACCACCCTATTCTCCCCCCCCCACCAAAGTTGTAAAGTTCATGTTTGACATGACAACTTGTACTTCTCATTGTTGCAACAGGTCCACCTGTATGCTTAAATGACTTGTTTTTCCCCTTCTCCTCCAGAAATTATACTGACATCAAATATAGTGAAACCAGGGATTATACTGTGGGGGAGGGACATACAAAGCCACAAAGAAATAATCTTATAAATGCATTAGAAACAAATGCATGAAAGAAAAAAACAACATTTAAATACATAGCTAAGGGTTCATTTTCCTAACACCACATTATCTGACCTTTTCTGCTTGACTCATACATATACTTGATATTGCAAAAATAGGTCCCATGGTTTCCCTTATTCACATTTGTCATATTTTTAAGATTACTCCGCTGTGTGTGTCCTATGAACTTGGATCCATGAATACTTGGTAAAGGACTTTCCACAATTGTTACATTTGTATATTCTCGCCTGTGTCTGTTCTCTGATGCAAACTGAGTTAGGACTTTTTCTTGAAAACCTTTCCATTTATTTTTGCTACATAGGATTTCTCTCCTCTTTGTGTGTGAGGGTGTGTGTGTGTCTGTGTGTCTCTGTGTTTTGTGTGTTTTATGATGAACCCTGAGCTGTGTCTTACAAGTCAAAGACTTTCCCATTTGGTACAATCCTAAGTTATTTCATTTGTGTGAATCAACTTATGTGTGTTAAGCTGTGACCTCCAGGTCTTTCCACACTGGTTGCATTCATGGATGTTAAGTTGTGCCTTCCAGGTGAAAGAATTTCCGTGCCTGCTACATACATAACATTTCTCTCTGGTCGGTTTTTTTCTGATGGAGAGAAAGGTGTATGTTCTGGGTGAAAGACTTTCCACATAGCTTACATTCATAAAATTTCTCTCCTGTGTGTGCTCTCTGGTTGACAGTAACATATATATCTTGGCTGATATACTTTCAACACATATGACATTCATAAGGTTTCTTTCCTGTGTGTTTTCTGATGGGCAGTAAGGTATGACTTCTTGGTGAAAGACTTTCCACACACGTTACATTCATAAGGTTTCTCTCCTGTGTGTGTTCTCTCGTGGACAGTAAAGTGTATCTTCTGGGTGAAAGACTTTCCACACACGTTACATTCATAAGGTTTCTTTCCTGCGTGTGTTCTCTGGTGGACAGTAAGGTTTGACTTATTGGTGAAAGACTTTCCACACATGTTACATTCATAAGGTTTATCTCCTGTGTGTGTTCCCTGGTGGACAGTAAAGTGCAGCTTCTGGGTGAAAGACTTTTCACATACATTACATTCATAAGATTTGTTTCCTATGTGTTTTCTCTGGTGAACATTAAGGGGTGACTTATGTGTGAAAGACTTTCCACACATATTACATTCATAAGGTTTCTCTCCTGTGTGTGTTCTCTGGTGGTCAGTAAGGTTTGACTTCTTGGTGAAAGACTTTTCACACATGTTACATTCATAAGGTTTCTTGCCTGTGTGTCTTCTCTGGTGGACAGTGAGAGTTGTCTTCTGGGTGAAAGACTTTCCACACACATTACATTCATAAGGTTTCTTTCCTATGTGTATTCTCTGGTGGACAGTGAGGTGTGACTTCTGGGTAAAAGACTTTCCACACATGTTATATTCATAAGGTTTCTTTCCTGTGTGTATTCTCTGATGGACAGTGAGAGGTGACTTCTTGGTGAAAGACTTTCCACACATATTACATTCATAAGGTTTCTCTCCTGTGTGTGTTCTCTGGTGTACAGTAAGGTTTGACTTCTTGGTGAAAGACTTTCCACACATGTTACATTCATAAGGTTTCTCTCCTGTGTATGGTCTCTGGTGGTCGGTAAGATATGTCTTGCAGGTGAAAGACTTTCCACAAATGTTACATTCAAAAGGTTTCTCTTCTGTGTGTGTTCTCTGGTGGACAGTAAGGTATGCCTTACTGGTGAAAATCTTTCCACACATTTTACTTTCATATGGTTTCTCTCCTGTATGTGTTCTCTGAGGGACAATAGGGTGTGTCTTCTCAGTGAAAGACCTTTTACATTGTTTATATTCTTCAACTACAAAGACACCTGGGGACTATGTACAGCACACATCTTACCATGTTCACTGAAAACACCCATGTTCTGACACCCAGTGACCTTTTCTGTCCTCATCCCTAAGGAGTTCCCATTATTCTTAATCAGTTCTGACTTCTGTTTTGAGCTCAAATTAAAACTTCTTAAAAGTCTCACTTTTTCCTCTTCTGGGTTATTATTCCTGACTGCTACTTCAGAGAGATACTTATTGTGACTTTCCTGACAGGTGCTAATCACATCCTCCATTTCTTGGACATCTAAAATGCATAACAGAAAAATAGGCAAAAACGTAAATGAGATCCACACATTCCTTACTGTAATGGTATTTTCTCACATTTTAACTGTGACAAGATTTTCAAATATCAAAGCATTGTTTTGTGCAGAATATAAACTTTTCTCTGCAACGTACTAACTATGAATGTAGTATTGACATTTTAAAATGGAAAATAATGTTTTTCTGTATTTCAGATTTTTCTATTTTTTTCTAGGAAATATTTACTGAAATTATTCATCAACATACTCTTAATGCTTCCATTCTGAATCTCACTCTATGCCCAGCACAACTCATAAGCTATTGTCCTGATCAGAGAATAGCAGCACTACCATTCTCCTATTTTCCTCCTACCTGCATAATACTAGTTTAAAAGAAAATGGGATCTCCTTTTGTACATTTCTTATTGTCTTTTTCTCTTAAAGAATGACTTCTGCCGGGCGCTGGTGGCTCACGCCTGTAATCCTAGATGCTAAGGAGGCTGAGTTCTGAGGATCGTGGTTCAAAGCCAGCCCCGGCAGGAGAGACCGTAAGACTCCTATCTCCAATAAACCACCAAAAACTGGAAGTGGCGCTGTAGCTCAAGTGGTAGAGCGCTTGCCTTGAGCTGAAGAGCTGAGGGACAGCACCCAGGCCCAGAGTTCAAGTCCCACGAGCAACAAAAAAAAAAAAAAAAAGAATGACTTCTCTACAGACAAAGAATTCCTAACATTAAATACACTGGCACACCAAATTCAGCTTGCCTCCATGTGAATTCTGGATTGACAATTCCTTGAGACAAAGGATCACCTAGTTCTCTGCCACACATGACTCAAGGGCACTAGGAATACTATTGCTCTGTACACCTCAAGATAAACAGACCAACTGGGCTCTGGACCCATCATCACCATTCAAGATGCTTTAACTCACCTGTGAAATTCTTGTCTGAGGCTTCTCTTATCCATGGATCTGCACCTTGTTCCAGCATCACAATCAATTTAGGTTTAGGAACACCGTGTCCTATGATTAAGAAATAGTGGAGAATTATTGCTCTTGCTAGGTCATCATTAACGAAAGGTCGCAGACATCCTGTTCACAAGGTTGCTCCTAATTCTGGTTCCTCAATTGTTTTTTGGGGGTTGGGGGTCCAGTTCTGGGGCCTAAACTCTGGTTCTGGGCACTGTCTGGCAGATCTTCAGCTCAAGGCTAGCACTGTATCACATGAGCCACATAACCAAATCTGGCTATTTTTTTTTCTGCTTATGTGGTGCTGGGGAATCCAACACAGGGCCTCATGTATGGAAGGCAATTCCTCTGCCACTGAGCCACCTTTCCAGCCCATGGTTTCTCAATTCTTTTTTTTTTTTTGGTCCAGTCGTGGGGCCTGAACTCTGGGCCTGGGCGCTTGCTGTCCCTCAGCTCTTCAGTTCAAGGCTAGAGCTCTACCACTTGAGCCACAGCGCCACTTCTGGCTTTTTTCTTTTTGCTTATGTGGTACTGAGGAATCGATCCCAGGGTCTTGAGCATGCAAGGCAAGCACTCTACCACTGAGCCACGTTCCCAGCCCAGTTTCTCAATTCTTAACAGCTCCATGGTGGAGTAGCATACAGCTTTGGGTTTATTTTGCCAACTGTGTGGCTTGAACTCAGCTCTTTTGCTAAAAGATAGCATTCTACTAGTTTGAGTCTCCTCTACATTTCTAGTTTTTGAATGGTTAATTGGAGATAAAGTCATGGTCATTTTTCTACACTGCTGGTTTCAAACTGAAATCTTCAGATGTCAGCCTCCAGAGTATCTAGGATTGGTAGCTTGAAGCACTAAACCCTGTAGCAGGTTTGGCTTAAAAATACACACTTTTACTTATTGATTTCCAGAGCATACTGTCAGTAGTAATGTATGTTCTATTCTAGACTGTAGATCCACCTATAACAATTACCCAAGTCTGGGAAGTAAGTCTCCTATTAGTGGATCATAGCTTAGAACTTTTGTCCAACTATTGATTTGCTTTCCTAAATAACGAGAATAAAATTAACTCTTGTGTTACATATAATGAAGTTTAAGTTTCCCTTAGAAAAAAATAACAATTCCCATGGCCTGGAATCTTTTTTTTTTTTTTTTAGAAATTGTAATGGTCCAAATGCTTACACCTGTAATCCTACAGTTAGGAGGTGAGATCAGAAGAGGCAGGCTTGAAACCAACCTGGGCATGGAAACTCAGAATATGCCCCAAAACAAAAGTGAAAATAGAATGGTGGCTCAAGCACTAGTGTGAAAGACAAACAACACCAAGCTCTCAGACTCAAATTTGACTGGCTTATATACTAGCAGTTTTTTACCTGGGAATGGACTGGAATCATCTCCCTAAATAACATAGTCTAATGTCTACTAAAATAAAAGCACTTGATCTTCCAAGTAAAAATAACCTTTGCTCACCCAAGGACATGAGGTTGCTATAGGTCTCCAGCATTACATCTCTATGAATGTTCCTCTGACCAGAATCCAGATCCTGCCACTCCTTCCAGGTGAAGTTCACAGCCACATCATCAAATGACATCAGCTTCTGTAATGGCACATTTCCATCAAGAAATTAGACTGGGTTTTGAGAATTCCAACCTGGAATTTCATTATGTTGCAGGTATGCTTTTGTCTTACATAAAATGTTTGCAGCTAGCTTTGTTAACTATTCACTGGGAAAATTAAATAGCAAATTAGAAACATTTGACAATACATAAACCTGGTCATTAAAATACACAGATTTGCAGGTCGCTGGTGGCTTATGCCTGTAATCCTAGCTATTCAGGAGGCTGAGGTCTGAGGATCAAGGTTCAAGGCCAGCCCAGGCAGGAAAGTCCATGAGACACTTATCTCCAATAAACCACCAGAAAATGAAAGTAGCACTGTCACTCAAGTGGTAGCACTCACCTTAACCTGAAGAGCTGAGGGAAAACAACCAGACCCAGAATTCAAGCCCCAAGACCAATAAAAAATTACAGTTTCCATAATGCACACAAACATATTTCTGCTGCTAGCAGTAGAGAGAAGATAAAAACTCTAAGGAGACAATAATCTGGCATGATAACATTAAGTCTAAGGAGGTGTCTGAAAAATTATATTATCATTTTTGATAAAATTTCAGTACACACCAGGGTAAAAATGAATTAAACCAATATTTTTCCTGTTTGACACATACTGCTTCACCATAAATCCTATTTAGACCTTCTCTCAAAAGCAAGCAGCACACATTCAGGATATCACATGGAATACAGAACATAGAACATTGCTAGATCTATGAAAAGCAGTGTCCACATGAATATTAAAAAAAAAAAAAAACAGTAACTGTACTCCAGAAAGTAACCAATGATTGATTAGGCCCTTATAAGATTTAATTGAGTTCCCACATAAAAATATCCGTGGTTTACCATGTTTGGTTTAAATGCTAAATATTGAAATATGGTCATAGATACCCTGATATTTCCTTCCCATGTAAAAAAGAACTGCTACCATGAAATTTTGTAAACTTTGCCTACATTCTACAATACAAAATAAAGGTGGAGGGGAAAAAAATGTTCCTTACAAGGTTTTTATTTTAATAGCCCTTCATGGAAGGTGAAGGCAAATATAGAGAGGCTCAAGGAACCCTCAAGATGACAAAAATGATAAATATGACCAAATGCTCAAATGCGTTACATATTCCTGAGTCCTTTCTCCAGTAGATCTCTAAGCTTATATTTTCACTTGTGTTAGTTAATAGTGAAATACCTCAGAGATCAAAATCAATTAGTGAGCAAACATCTGTGAGATGTTGTGACAGTGATATTTCTAATAGAGAACATCTCGTCACTGTATTATTTTTTTTTCAACACTAGTTCCAATCTTATACTGGCAGTGAATTAAAATATTCAAAAGTAGTGGGAAGGAAAAACAAAACTGAATAGCACATCAAATGAAGTTAGACCAACACAAAATCAGGAGAAAACAGATTTTCTTGTAGTGTATCAATTGGTAGAAGGAAGTACTTTTCTGTAGGGAACTCTGAAGTTGAGCTGAAGGGGAAAAGGTTTGAGAGGTTGGAATTCCAGCCTGACAGCACTGAGAGAACTGAGAGGTGGCCGCAAAAGGCTTAAAAGAGAATTCTGGAGAGTGTTAAGAGACTGGAGTACAGGCCTTCTCCATACTGTTGGAAAGATAGCATCTGAAACGGAGGTGCTGTTGACCTTGAAGGCTATGTAAAGTGAACTCCATGTCTGCATTTTCTCTGGGCGACAGTCTTCTGTCTCATGAGAATAAGGACATATGCTTTCATCACAACCTGTTTTGGCTCTGATTGTACTGTTACTATAGATACTTCATTTTTGCATATAATCAATGGTAATCTTCCCTGTGTGAACTCAAGGAACTATGCTAGCTTGCTGGCACCCAGGGACAAATTGCCAGAGAGCCTTCGGAACCCTGGTTTCCCCTAAGTCTATCTGTTTATGTTTTTGTGTTTCTCTAATTTTCTTTGTTTCTGGAATCCTTTAGAACTGTCTAGGCAACAATGTTCCTATATTATGGGTAAGAAAAATGTCAATCCTAAGAGCCATGTAAGCAACATAAAGCTGATCACTAAGAAAATCTTGTTCCAGATAGATCATTTGAAGAAAAGAAACAACTGAGACACATATGGAGGAAAGAGGGATTGAAAAAAGAAAAACATGATAAAAGATAGATACAAAGAGAGAGTAAGAAAAATAACCAACACTAGTGAGTAGAAAATCAAAAATGGAGAGAGAAAATAGAGGAAAGAAATCTTGTGAGAATACTTTAGAAAACAAACAGGAATGTGTAGAAAGACCATAAAGCTTAGCAACAAATACAGGCTAAGTTTCAAGTAAGACCAACACCATGAAGCAGTGCAAGAACTATATATGGAGAGTAATTTAAGTACATATAGGTTAATCAAGCCTTAAGAACACATGAAGGTGTGCATGACCATACTATTTCAGCAATTCCAGGAAAATTTCATTGAGATAGTTGAATGTTACTCATGAGGAAGTGATCTGGTGGCAATCTATCCTTCACCTTCCATGAGAAGTAACCTGCTTGGTGTCATTACATCACATAACAGGTATGACTACATTTTATGACAAGATGAAACCTAGACATTCTGAAGCCAATCTGAATTCAACTTAGAATATAACCATTCAATCTGCTAAACCTACAAGCAATCTTTATCTGCTAATTTACAAGCCTTCTTTATCTGCTTTATGAATATATTCCTGAGGCTGAATCTGTGTGGTTGGTATTGTTTTTAATTCTTGGATATCTTTAGGTTGATACAGTGGAATGGAAAACAAATGAAAAATTAAAAAATCAACTCACCAGAGATCCATTCATTCTGTCTTGCTGCTGACAATGAGCAGAAGATTCTGGAAGCATGGCTGGGATTTAAGGGAAATGATGCATTCAGAAATGAATCTGTGAGATTTTGGGCCCAGAATTTCCTCTTGCAAACATGATACATGGACTGGAAAACTGTAAAGCCTTCTTTTTTTAATTTTTATTTATTTTTTATTGTGAAAACGTAAAGCCTTCCTATAAGCGAAGAATTTTTAATGTCTTAGGCAGAGCATTAAAGTGTCCAATAAACACAAATCCAGCCCATTTCCTGATAGATAGATATTATTAAACCTACTAATTTATATATTTATGTAGACACTAAATGGGAAAAAATTATTGAATAATTGAAAGCAAAAACATATATTTCCACTAAAAGTCATTCGTTATTACTGAATATACTTCAGGATGTATGACCTGCTTTTTTTTCCTTTTTTTTTTTTTTTTGCCAGTCCTGGTGCCTGAACTCTGGGCCTGGGTGCTGTCCCTCAGCTCTTCAGCTCAAGGCAAGAGCTCTACCACTTGAGCCACAGCACCACTTCCAGCCTTTTCTGCTTATGTGGTGCTGAGGAATGGAGCCCAGGCCCTCATGCATGCAAGGCAAGCACTCTACCACTGAGCCACCTTTCCAGCCCATTAACTGCTTTTTTAATGCAAAAGCATCCTAGGAATCCATTGGATTTTGTGTTCTATCTCATTCATTTACATATTTAAACACCATGGAAAGCATGTATGATGTAACTCACTAATTTTCACCCAAAGTTACATAAAAAATGTATATAGAATATATTTCTTATGTTATACTATTTCAATAGTGGGTGTCAAATGGCACATTTCACTCTAACCATTGCACACATATGCAATGATTAGCAATTTGCCATTTAAAATGCTTTGGCCAAAGGGACATGAGTAAAGATGAGGTAAACCCAGGTTTGAGAAGTCCCTAACGTTCATTTCTCTAAACAGTCATGCGAAGAACCTTGGCCATCCTAAAGATACAACATAAAATAATCGATATAGGTGTGACACACCTGAAGATAAGTGACACCTACAAAGCATACAATCTTAAGTAAGACATATTACTTCAAGTTTTCTTCTGTGAATTTTCTTTTTGGGCCACATGTCCCAGACCAACACTTGCCATACTACCAGGCACAACCAACTGATTAGAGCTAGCATTAGCAAATCCATAGATGGCACACTTAATGTAAGTTTGCATGATGACATACTAAAAATCATTGTTAACAGGCTGAATAAATTAGCAAGAAGAGGATTAGGGATTACTACATGACTAGATACTTTCAGTCATAACAATTATTCCAACATCCCAAACCACAGCCTCAGATATCCTTTGATAACTATGCTCTGGCTTATTCCTCAATCCAGCTCATCACGCCTCCTAGAAATTAGTTTAAATCTTGCAACAACATAAAGTGATTGAGAGTGGTGTAGGAAAGAGTACCACGTGAATCTGGTGCTCAGGGAAGTAGCAACAATTTTGGCATAAAGCAAAGGAAGCTAGCAACATCTTCCCCTTCCTGTGCTTTTCTGTTTTTCTCTTTAGGGCTTCTCAGAATTGACAGGGTCTGTCCATTGATGATGGAGATTCCTATTCATAGGGTGCTCTGCTTCAAACATTGCTAAGCTTCATTCCTAAAAATACAGGACCAATATCCAATATCCCATGTACAACTGTCTCTAGAAACAGAGTCGAATACAAACACATGTGAAATCAAGCCAGGAGATTAAAAACTCAATCCAAACAGACTAAAATATCTCTAGGAGAAACAACACAGAAGCAATAAATTCAACTTCAATGTAAGAAGACTCAAGGCAGTCACACACCTCACAATTTCACTAGAATTCTCCCTGTACTCCTCTTACACCTAGGCAAAGCAAATAAAGTCATATGGGTTAATAGAAGAATCCCTTGGTCTTGGAGGACAAATGCACAGCTCTTGGGCTCTCCTCATCTGCAGAATCACCCAGCTTGCTCTCAGATATTTGGGAACCAGGTTCTTACACCTCAGGGCCCAGAGCCTAATGACAGCACAAACTCCTGAACCTCAAGCAAATTACCAACTCCAGACTGGAGAAAAGTGTGGAGGGGGCAGTAGGAGTT